ACTCGATCCTTTTCAGTTTCACAATCTTAAGATGCAAAGTCCATAATTAAGCCACGTTTGCACATTGTTCCCTTCCACTTCTCAGTTGATGGGGAACATTTAAAAAGTAGGTATAAAGATTCTTATATTTATTTAATTGCAATGCCATAAGTATATCAAATTTTATTGAGGAAAAATATAAAAAATTTAACAATATTTCATGTGTAGTATATTATAAACACAATTAACTGTATGTGAAGATGTTTATAGAGAAATATAGGGAGGGTGAAATTTCAAGAGACTTCAAGGACGACCCTATGATGTGAGAAAAGAGAGAAACTTTATTCGAGGTACAGAAATCACTTTTGAAACGACAATACGATATTTTTATCTTTTTTTTCATCTACTTCTCAAGTAACTAGAGGATTGAAATATGTTAGATAGTTGCCTAAGAAATGTCAATGTCGTGATCGAATGGAATGGATTTAGAACTCGCCTGTTATCACCTTTGAGTTATCAACATATCGATTTTGAATTTAATTCGATTTTTAATATCATTAATTTTTTTATATAATTTTGAGTAGGGATTAACTTATGTTATTTAATATTTGAAAAAGTAAATAATGACTAGTAATAAATTATATGGTTTTCAAAATCAAATTTATGTTCTATATTACCAATTTTGAAATTAATTTCATGTTACAATTATAAATTAAAACCTAAATATGTTTTAGACCCCTTTTGGGAGTGATTTTTCACCCCCAAATAATTGATTTTTTGACCATTATTTCATTATTCCAGCCTTAATTTTTGACTTCTTCTCTCACGGGTAGTCTCCACTTTTATCACAATGATCAAAAAATCAATTCTCAAAATCACTACCAAACATGCCCTAAATATCTTAATTTAGCTTAAATAGAATATTTTAAAGATAGTCTCTGTTTTATAGGTTTCAATTAAAATAATAATGTTGTTTTTTTTATTCATATTGAGAGCAAATTAGGAGATCCAACCAGAAGGCATGATTGACGCTATCACATGGATTGCTCAAGAAATCACATGCTGCATCTTCAATTATATGTCTTGAACTCTCGTTCATGGGTTGATCTCTCGAAATAAAATTTTCCCCTCATTAAAATTTAAACTTTTATTAAAATAATTTGGTATATTAAAGAGGTAATATTCTAAGACGACTCTTGGAAGTTGCTCGAGAGACTAAGAGGTTGAAAGAGAAATCACTAGTCTCGTATGGAATGAGATCAATAACTCTTACAAGAGGAAAAGGAAACCCTTCACTCTACTTATTGGTTGGGAATAGAGGATAAGAAAAGCTAAAACATTACTTTATTTGCTAATCATCGATCCTAATAACGTTCTCATGCCATACACATCGATCTAGAACTTTCAAGGATCGATCAAAGTGAGAGAGCACTCACTATGAGAAAGCCCTTCCCTATCATGTCTCATAGCCTCGAATAGCTCTTTTCTTTTTCTTTCCTATTGCATACTTCTTTGTCATTTGTCCTTCTCCTTCGAGCAGTAGTAGCAATTGTGGAAAAACAAATTTAGATGGCATTTTAATATCTTGAAGACAAAACTATATTAAGTAAATGTCTAATATTTAATTATTTTAGCTTTCAGGGCTGACAAGTTGATTTCTTTAATATGGATGTTTTCAAAACGAAACGATTTTTCTTCGTTATTTTTAAGTGCCTCTAGATTATAATTGTATCAAATTGAGGACAAGATGAACAATCAAGTCCATCAGGACGATAACATTTTTCAGTTTGAATCTCATTCAATTTATAAACACGTGCAATATCATCTCGAACTTAGACCACTCGACAGATCTCGTCCACTTAAAAATTAGTGTAAAAGCTGTAAATCTATCTATATTCAAAAATCATCATTTTCTTACTGGGCCTGTAATTTTTTACAAGTCTACCTTATTGGACTTAAATCCCAATCCATTTAAAAATCAAGATATATAAACTGGGCCGACAACTTGACTCTTGCTCAAGAGAAACTCTGGGTTATTTCATCTTCTTTGCCCCCAATGTGATTCTAGATATTTTATTTCTTATTATCTTTTAAATATTTAAAGGATATTTCTATTCTACAATGTCCAGCACGTGCGTTATGTGAGTGGTGAGTAATGATAGCTACCTAACAAGAGGCCCAAAGCAAAGAAGATAAGAAAGAATCCTTTTGCTTTGGTATGGTGGCTTCAAGAACATGAACAATCATGCAGATTTTGACTATAATGGTTCAATAAATTTCACTCAAATAGACATTTTTCTCTTTTGGGTTTGTTCTGGATTACGATGGATTTGAACTCTTAACGCGTTCATCTTTTAAAAAAAATCAGTTGTTGACGAGGAGAGATTTTAACTCCTCGCTTCACGTTATCCTTTGCAAAGCATACAAAAAAGTCCTTCCCTATCAAGTCGAGTAGCCTCGAATAGCTCTCTTCTCACTCTTTCCTTTCACATACTCCTTTGTCGTATGTCCTTCTCCTTCGAGCAGTAGTAGCAGTTGTGGAAAAATAAATTTACATGGCTTTTTAGTATGTTGAAGACAAAAGTATATTATCAATGTCTAATATTTAATTGTTTTAGCTTTCAAGACAAAATTATTTGATATTGACAAGTTGATTTCATTGAGATGAATGTTTTCTAAATGAATGAATTTATCAAATTATAGATAAGATGCACAATCAAATCTATCACATGAGAATAATGAATCTCGTTCAATTCATAAATATGTGCAATATTATATCTAACTCAGGTCACTCGACGGATTTCAGCGATTTTAAAATTCATGTAGTTGCTAATTCTATCTATATTCAAAAATCATGATTTTCATACAATTTCCTAATGATGGGAGAAATAGTATTTTGGTGGTAATGAAGGTTGTGCAGGTTCGGCAAGTGATGGTGGTGGCACAAATCTAATGGCACTGATTTAGTGATGATGACGAAACATGGTTTGTTATAAGTCATGTAATGAAGACAGTGTAATAGGATACGCTACAAGTAATAGTAATGGTGGTGGTTTAACACTGAATGTTACAATTGATTGTGGTGCATGATCGTTATGGTGACAATGAAAATATGCAACAAAGTGAGATTAACACGCTATGTTACAAGTAACGGTGATGATGAGATATCCAAGTGGTGAAATACGTGTAACGCAATATAAAAAAATCTTGAAAATGGTAATTGAGAATAAAATAAGGTTTAAAAGTTTATTTATGAATTGCTCCCTATATAAAATGGCACAATCCAATTAGAGTAATCTTATTTAGTCCAATTGAGATTACAACTCCAGTTTAAGTGGCCTTAATTTGGTATTAAATGATAGATGAAATTAAATAAGTCATTTAATTTCATCTTTCATTTAGCCTATCATCCATCGTCACCTAAACTGGAGTTAGAATCCCAATGGAACTATATACTATTACTCATCCAATTATCCAAAAAAAAAAAGTTAAAAAGTCCTTTCTATTATACGAGTGTATAGTATTCAAGGGTGTATAGTAAATATTGATTATGATATTATACGTCCTTTTCTATTTTGTTTATTTTTTCATTTTTTTTTTAAATTTATCCGAGTCAGTAAAACTTTGTTTATATCATTTTTTTAATGTATAGTAAATATATACATACATTTTTTTTTTTTTTTATAATCGCTATAGAAAAAATATTAATAAGCTGTCATTATTACTATATACTGAAATCCGATATGCTATGGCCCATGGCCCCGACAAGCATCCAATTAATGGGCCCGCATTGTTTTTCTCCCCTTAATTTTTAGGAAAAATTGCAGCCGAGGTATCAAACATTTCGTTTATCAGCATACTTTGTCCAAACCTTTAGTTTGTGCCACCCACGATATCAAACCTTTCAAAAACTCGCAGTGGAAGTCCAAATTGATGAAAATTGTTAATTTGACCGTTTGTTGACCAGATTTAACATTAACTATTATTTTGACTAATTTTAAAAGGATAAAATGATAACTTTACATTTTTCAACCAAAAAAAATAAAAATACAATATATTAATAATTAAATCAAAACACAAAAATACTATTCATCTTCTTCTCTATTCACCCCCTGCCCACCCACTCCACAAAATCAAATCCCACCAAAATCGATCATCCACCCACCCACATTCCTCCACAACAAATCTCCAGAATTTATTCCTCAAAACAAGAGCTTAAACAAATCAATTGCTCGTCCATCACCGCACAAAGTCGGAAGAAGCCTAATGCATTTGCGGACAGACTTTTCTCTCATAAAAGCCACAAGTAGTTGATCAAACAACCTCCTTAGCCTTTCCTTACATGCATCAACCCTACATTCCTCAATTCGAAAATCGAGATCAAAACCAAATCCAACTTTCCCCTTAGCATTTTCAACTTCGTGCAACAATGAATCATCTCTCAAATTTGAACATCCTTCCATTAACTCCAATTTTTTCCCCCCCCCCGACAAATTTTCTGGCTTATGTTCTTTTTATTTTTCTTCCTTTCAAGGTATTGAATTATTGCACCAAAGAAATGAACAAAAACCTACATCAACCCGTTAAAAAAATAACTAAATAAACCAGCAGCAGGAGGGGGTGAATGGAGAAAAAGATTAATAGTGTTTTTGTGTTTTGATTTAATTATTAATATATTGTAATTATTTTTTTTTGGTTGAAAAATATAAAGTTACCATTTTATCTTTTTAAAACTAGTCAAAATAATGGTCAATGTTAAATCTTTGGTCAACTAACTGTCAAATTAATAATTTCCATCCATTTGGACTTTCACCGCGAGTTTTTGAAAGGTTTGGTATCGTGGATGACACAAGCTAAAAGGTTGGACAAAGTCTGTTAATAAATAAAAAGTTTGGTACCTCGACTGCAATTTTCCCTAATTTTTATTAGAAATTAAAATCTATTATTCAACATTAAAATTTATTAAAAACTCAATCCATATCACAAAAATATCTCTGTTTGGTCTTATTATAAATTCAGAAGAAAGAAAAATATCTACATTTACCATTTTCGATATTTTCACAATGCCACTGTCAATTTTCAGAATGCTTTGATCGCCTCTACGAATTATATGTGTTTCTTGTCAAAATTGACAACTAAACTTTTCTGGTTTCCATTTTTCCTGCTTCGAAATATCGTTTCCACTAGTTTTTTTTAGTTTGTAATCCGCGGGGAAGTTACAAGAATCGGTGGCGCCATGAAATTGGGATTGAAATCAAGGTCGCAGCGGGTGATTCAGGACTGCTCAATTGTGATGGGGTCTAGAAAAAGGGGGGAAAATGATTACTGTTGTGTTGATGATGAAAATTTGAGCGAAAATTATTGCAGTTGGTCAGATTTGCCTCCAGAGCTGTTAAGGGAAGTTTTGATTAAAATAGAGGAGTCTGAATCCAAATGGCCTTTGAGAAAACACGTGGTGGCATTTGCTGGTGTGTGTAAAAGCTGGAGGGAACTCACGATGGAGGTTGTGAGAATTCCGGAGTTTTCTGGGGAATTCACTTTTCCCATATCAGTTAAGCAGGTTGAAATCTTTGATACTTTTCTTTAAGTATTTGAAGTTATCAGTTCTGTTGCTTTTCTTTAAGTATTTGAAGTTATCAGTTCTGTTGCTTATTGTTTTCAGCTGCTCTTTTTTTTATTTTTTCTTGTTAGCTTGGATTATGATTTGGGAAAGAATCTGATCCTATTTCAAATATGAAATGCTTCAGAACTAACTTATGGTCTGATAGTTTATTCATTTCATATAACTAAAATCATGGCTCGTAGGTAGGTGACAATATTATGATCGGATATTTTTCATGATAATTTTTATGCTTTTCTACAGATTCTGAAATTTTGGTGTTACTCTGTTTGTATGGTTTTTTCTCTAGCTCTTTGGCACAGCACACTGACTCTTTTACTTAATACTGAAAATGGAATTAAGAAAAAGAAGCCATTTTGGTTGGTGCTGTTAAGTGAATATATATCTGGTTTACGAATTTATTAGCTTCTGGTTGGTGCTGTTAATTTTGTGTAAAACTTGTTTTGTTTTATTGATCTTAGTGAATATATATCTGGTTTACGAATTTATTAGCAGAATGCTATGAAACATAGGGGCTAAAGAAACTGTGTTGTAACATGTTGGTCTGGTGTTAAACTACACTTTGCTACTTGTAACTTCTATTATGTTTACTTCACGTTGAGGTGTAAAACAGAGAGTCACAGTACGTAATCTAAAACACAGGATTGAGTTAGGATAGGTGCATGTGTGAGAGGGAGAGAGAATATAACCTTGACGAATACAGTCTTCAAAAGCTTCCAGATAAAGCAGTGATATTTGCAATGATGATTTTGAACTTCAAAGATGCAAATATCTCATACAGCTTAAAGATTGTGTGTGTTCTTTTGCAGCATGTGCGGCTAACTACAATTGTCTTCTCCCCCATGTTGGATACCCTCAATGGTAAATTAATAAAATAATTTAATAACAACTTAAATAATCAATTAATTTACGAATAAATAATTAAACAAGAGTAAAATTGAGCCGACCTCAAGAACTTCAAAGGGCCATGATCTTGATACTGCAGAATCATAGCATTGATCAATTCTTGATTTCTTTGGTTTTGAAAAGAAAGCTGTAGCTTCTTGATCAAAGTCAACAAACTTTACTTTTTGATGATCTATCAGATTCCAGCTCTGATACTTCTGCTCAAATTCTCTTCTCTTCCCTTCTTCTTCCCATTCTTGAATATATAATCAACCTCATCTTCGATTATCAATGCTTTATCCATCTAAATTTCAACACAATAAATTGTTATATGAAAAATAAGTTGCCAGGTATACTAAGTTGAAGAGGTTTTATATATAATCTGATGGTTATTTTCTTGGAGTATTGTCTTTTATGTAATTAGTTTGTGCATATCTAAAATAATGGCATCCATGTCCTGCGTGCTCGCCAGAACTGAGCTCATACTTTAAAAATTAAAAATATAAACTTCATCTTAAAATGGAAAATTAAATAATCTCAATATATTAAAACTAACCATGGGCCACGTCAACTCCCATTGAAAATATATCAGTACTTGATATAAAACTCAGAAAATAATCCAAAGATAATAGAAATTTCCTTAAAATCTGCATGCAATCGTGTTTTTACATATGTAAAAAAATGTATGTATATACATATACTACTCATAATTTATTTTTCAATGTTCACCTATTTACTAATAACTAATAAGTAAATACAAAATATAACTGTTCACATTTCATTTTTTACTCAAAATTTATTGTTTAAAAACTCCTGATAACCCCCTCCATATAACACAAATCTCTCACACTTTGGTAACAGTTTTGATCGTTATTTCAGAAAATAAAAAATCCAAAAATAGTTCCCATATTTCTATATTTTCATATTTCCATTTTCATTTTTCATTATTGTTTTGATTGGCTCCATCAAACTATATATGTTTCTTGTATAAATCGACAACTAAATTTTTCTGGGTTCCATTTTTCATTCTTTGGAATCTCTTATCTGCAAGTGTCTTGGTAAGGTCCCAGCGGGTGGTTTGGGCTAGCCCAATAGTGCTGGGTCAGAGAAATGGCAAAGAAAAATGATAATTTTTGCATAGATGATGAATTTTTGAGGGAAAATGATTGTTTTTGTCTTGTTGGTCTGATTTGCCTAGAAAACTGTTAAGGGAAAAAGGTGTTGGTGTGTGCTCGTGTGTGCAAAAGCTGGAGGGAACTCATGATGGAAGTTTTGAAAATTCCTGAATTTTTTGGGAAAATTGCATTCCTCATGATGGCATGTGGCCTTGTTGATTGTTGTTATCTTTTGATTTTTGGGGTTATTATTTGTTTGTTTTGCGTGAGTGTGGATAATGATTTTGGATCTTATGATAATTTGAATGTATGATGGTTTAAATGTGCACTGATTTTGATATGGAAAGAGTCTGATCATATTTCAAAGATGAAATGCTTCAGAGAATTAGATTGGTTTGGTTGTTTATCCATTTTGTATGATGAAAATCTTGGTATAGGTAGGTGATATTATTGTGATCGAGGGTTTTGTCATGATAATTTTTAGGATTTTCTAAAAATTTTCAAGTTTAGGTGTCCTTATGTTTTTCTCTTTAGCTCTTTGCTTATCATACTGAATCTTTTACTTAATGCTGAAAAAGAGTTAAAGATAAAGAAGCCATTTTGGTTGGTGCTGTTAATTTTGTGTAAAATTTGTTTTATTTTATTGATCTTAAAGAGTATAAATCTGGGTTATGAATTTATAGGGTGTTTGGGACTCATTTTCATATAAAAATGCATTTTTATAACAGTAAAATGATGGGAAATGTATGGTTGAAAAATGAGAAAAAGTTTTTGATTTACGTGTAATATTATTTTAATAAAGAATGTGTGGTTAAAAAGAATAGAGATAAAAATACATTTTGAAGAAAATGGGTACCAAACGGGGCCTTATTATAATAATTCTCTGAGCACGAATATAATTTTCAAAATTTCTAAAAGTCATTCAAGAAAATTTCTGTTAGTTCCAATTCAATCTATATAAACTTCGATGAATGATCAAACACAAGTACAAATCTAATGTAAGTTTCCCCCATTTTACTTATTTGGCATAGCATAGTGAAAACTTCACTTAATTCTGAAAAATGAAACCAAAGAATTAAGAATTTGGAGATGGTGTTACATTCGCTTATATAGTATAGTGGCCTTAAGATACATTAATTTTGTGGACAAATTTATGAAAGAATTCTCAGGCATGAATTTCAAATTTCATTGAATCCATTTAAGTTCTGGCATTGTCAGCTTTTAATTTTGTCTGGAGAAAGATTTATTGCAAGCACTAATCAGCTATATAGCCTGTTGCCACAAGAGCATTGAAATTCCTAATGAAGTTGTGATTGTTTGTTATGATTTGCGTAGTTTGTCTTAAATGGGGTATTTTACACACTCTTTGCCTTGTGGCATTGAATAAGACTCTCATAACCAAAATTACAGCATTTGGCAAAATTGTTTTTTATTTACCCGAAGGAGAGAATTGAACAACTAAAACATCAAAGCTCATTTAGTTCGCAATCTTGTTGTATTAATTAGGCTCATTGCCATAACTGACCAAATTATATTTGCAAAATACTTCCCTGTGTCATTCTCTGCTTATTTCATCTGCCAAGAACAATTACAAATGAATTTTTAGTTAAGATTTCTAGGTACAAGATATAAACGATTTGTTCTTAACACATTTGACTTTCTTGCATTCTTTTTTTTGAAAGGTAATCAAATATTTTATTAATCAGACTTTCTTGCCTTCTGAAAAACTCTTTTCTGCTGTGCAGCCTGGCCCAAGAGAGTCTCTCCTTCAGTGTTTTATAAAACGGAACCCGTCCACACAGACGTATTATCTTAACCAGAGTTTAACTCGAGGTGGGCAATTGTTATTTCCACTATATCTTGGATTCCACATATTTCCAAAGCTAATCCTCCCCTTCTGCTGATCCTCTCTAGTTTAATTAGAGCTTTCATGTGTTCTGCTAATCACTCTACTTGTACTGAAGTTTCGTGTTCGTTGCTAAACTTTATTTTATTCCAAAGTATTGACTGAAGTCTGTATTTTGTTTCAGTTTGGTCACCTAGTTAAATCTTGTCAGTTTTCGTTATGGAATGTCTGACGTGGGGCGACATGTGAGGCGACATCAAAATGGAGGCCTTCCATATTGGACGCTTCAATGGGAAAGCTAACGGATTTTAACTTAGCTACAAACTGAAACAAAAAGCAAACTTCATCGATAAATATGGAACAAAATAAAGTTTTGTGACTAATATAAAACTTTGTTATGAGCTGAGTGATTAACTGTGTTTTTGACCCATTTTCCATTTATATATTGTCTATTACTACAGGATACGTAGCCTTGTATCTTTCTAAAATTAAAAATAAGAGCATTTACAGGACGTGACTTGCTTCACTCTGATACTCATTTTTTGGTCTATGGCAGCACTGCGTGACAATGGGAAGTTTCTTCTTGCAGCTCGTAAGTGTCGGAGACCAACCTGCACGGACTACATCATTTCTCTATGTGCTGATGACATGTCTAAGGGAAGCGGCAATTACATAGGAAAACTAAGGTGTCATTTAAGCTGTTATCTCGTTTTACACAATTTATGTTGTTTGAAGTGGATTGATGACAAAAGGTTCTTACTTCACCAGATCAAATTTCCTGGGAACCAAGTTTGTTGTATATGATGCTTTGCCTCCTGCCGGAGCCAAAATGGTGAAAAGTAATTCCACTCGAACAGGTGGCACTGCCCAAGTTTCTGCTGGCAACCATCCAGTAGCTCACATATCGTACGAGTTGAATGCGCTCGGAGCCAGGTTAGACATATTTACGCCACATTACAATAGATAACCTAACCAGTAGCTCACATATCGTCTGGCATTTTTGTTTGATTTGGTAAATTGGGTTTTGTGCATTTAAGATAAAATTTCATGAAAATTAGCATGTTATTGAAGGACTAAATTCCAGAATATATCAACAATTTTATTTTAAGACATTTACATCACTTCGAGGTATATGAATGATACTTTTATCATGTTCTTAAACATTCTTCGAAGGGAGGAGAATTAACAAGATCATACTCTTCTTTAACTTTTGTGGGATTCCCTCGGGAGATATGAATGATGTTTTACCATGTTTTTGGGTATACGAAACAAATTTGTTAATAATATATCAATAATTCTATGTAACATTCAGGGGTCCAAGAAGAATGCAGTGCGTTATGGATGCAATCCCAGCTTCTGCCATCAAACCTGGAGGTGTGGCTCCGACTCAGATTAATTTTCCAATCAGCAGCGCTGAATCCTTTCCAGTAATTCCATTTTTTCGGACCAAATCAAGCCACTCGGATAAAACTCTATCTGGACCATTGGATTGCCAAAGAGATGGATCACTTGTTTTGGGTAATAAGGCTCCAGCATGGCATGAACATCTCCAATGCTGGTGTTTGAACTTTCATGGACGGGTAACTCTGGCGTCGGTTAAAAACTTTCAGCTGGTGGTTTCTCCGGAGAATGGCCAGGCCGGGCCAGAACATGAGAAAGTCATCCTTCAATTTGGAAAAGTCGGGAAAGATGTGTATACAATGGATTACAGCTATCCATTATCAGCTTTCCAGGCATTCGCCATTTGTCTTAGCAGCTTTGATACTAAAATTGCTTGCGAATGATGTGAATCAGGTACGATTCTGATTCCTTTCATCCATATACATTGATGCTTATGTCCTAATTAAACAGATGATAACACTTCTCATGCATTTTTGATATTGCAGGATTTTGTATTATAATTATGTTGGTATCATATGTTAACAATCGAGTTGATTTCAATTCACATCCTTAGAAGTTGTATGAATTTATTTGTAATTTGCTAAACAACTAAGGTTTCTTTTTAATTTACTGTCTTTTTGTTGTTTGTACTGTCTTTGGACATCAAGCATGTTTGGCTCAGCTTAAGAAAAAAATTAAGTTTTTTCCCGAGTCCAAACATACATGAATACAATACTTTTTTGTTACTTCTAATTAACAAATTTACGTATCTTGGAAGTGACTCTTATTGGGACATGTATACTTATTTCCAACTTTAACCTGTACGAAACTTATTTACTTTTAAATACTTATTAAGCTCAGCCAAACATGCTTGATAGTCATTAAACTCTATGTTTCGACTTGGTGATTGAACAGTGAATGTATATGTGCGATTGAAATTCTGTGAAATGATGCATTTTGGAGCGTTGCGAAGAAGTTGGGATCATCGTATTTTTCTCGTTTGATATTCATGCATAATATCGTGAAAATTTATTTAAGAGTTGTTCGAACGTAATTGAATATTGTTGAAGAAAAACACAAAATAATAAAATTTTGAATTTTACTAAGCTTTAAGCAATCAAAGATAATCCCATTTTCAAAATAAATGTATTTGTAAGCTCTTAATTAGAGATAAAAATGGATGATAGATAAAAGGATCTGCAGATACAAACCGTGACAAATCTATCGGGGAAAAAAATCATACACAGAAAGATTTACGAATGCTTATTATTTTTCACTAGTGTATATTTGTCGATGCAAGTAAGGAAAAAGAACATTTACAACACGAAAATACTCATAGGATCCCAAAAAATAATAAGAACAAGGAATGTGGAAGAAAAGATATGCTTACCTCTCAAACGTTTAATAATTTCCCGGCTCAGATACAATACGCGAATTTGCAAGAGTTTGCTCCTCCCCTTCATATGTTGATCTGGCATTAGTATAGAATTAACGCTATATTATACGATTTCTTTCTCCTTATTCCGACTAGAATCTTTATCTTTCCGAGGATCCTTCTTTGATGGCTTCGACTTTCTTCTCGGAGCACCAACTGCATCGGGTTCCACCAATGGGCCCGACCAAGTTTGCATGGGCTCTTTTGCAGACGACAAATTCATGGAAGTGAATGGGACATCAGGAGGATCAAAGGTCGGGTCAAGGTGATGTGAAGATCCCAATGGATAACCAAGTCCTCCATCCTGATGTGGAGGAGGAAATTTTTCACTTTTGCTCTTTGCATTTGCATGCGTAATTAGTCGTCGTCTCTGTTCACAGGGATAAATAAGTTACTTTTATCTAATTTAAAGTTTCATGCATCATATTCTACAACATAGTATTGCTTTTCTTTTTATCCCTAAATTAGACGACGACAGAGGCATAACTTCGAACTGCGATCCTACTCAACCAAGAACTATGAAGAATCAAATAGAGAAGCTTTCTGAATCACCATATCTAGGAAGACTATCATATAAAATGGCTACCAAAACAACCCCACACTCGTGACAAATGAATAGCCGAGATATTTCTCAAAGTATACAAAAAAGAAGAGATAGTGACGACCACAGCATGTTGGGAACAAAATCGCTTACATCTATTACTATTTCTCAACATGGTTTAAGGCTTAAACCTTGAAGCATGCCTCACTTGAGGCTTTCTTAAAGGCGTTGAATGTCATTTGTTAAAGTTTACACCTCCACTTAATAAGGCTTGCGCCTTCTTATTACCGGCCTCAACCTTTTCAGTTATTTTTAATAGCCAAGAACTTTGGGAAATTATTGTCATTTTCTTTTCTTATTCTTTTTTTCCTATTAACTTCACAGGGAATGGGAATGCAAAAGGGAAGGGAAAGAAGCAAGCACCATTGTAAGTGAAGAAGGATGACAGAATGAGGACGACGATGACAAGCAAATGAAATATGTTGATAATTCTCAAAAAGATCTTGTTAGTAGTAAAGATATGGGAGACTTCTAAGTAGTAGCTACATCTAGGGTAATTTATAGTTTTGTCGTGTAATTAATAATTTGAAAACTTACTAGTCATTTACTGATCTCTACTATGTTTGTTTACAAATTGCACTTTTGATTTTGTTAATTTGTTTTATTATGGATTTTAAAGATGGTTTATTGTTTCTTACCAGCATTTTTTTTTTTTCAAATTAGTTTTGTTTGTTTGTTTTAATACTTATGCTTCTGCTAGCCTTAGAGAAAGTAAAATGTTATGCAGATGCACATAAAATTCCAAGTTGACAACATGCGTACATCAATATTTGTTTGCAGCTCAGCATTGGCCCCAGGAGCAGGGATCGCCCTTGCTCGATCACGAGGACGTGTTTTCTTCACACCATCAGCACTGGCTTTACCAGCAACTCTTAGCCTACATTCATGAAAGTTGGATAAGGATTTCGGGGGAATATAACTGTTCTATTAGCCTTCTTGACAGTACAAATAACAGAAAATATGTTCAAATGGATGGAACATTCGAAACCACACGTATTCTCATAAAATATCCAGTCTGAAAAATTGTATCTTAAATTTTGCTATGCTAGTTTGTTAATTATTTTTTTTGCAAATTACTGATCTTCTTTTATCATATATAATGGCACAAGCGTGCACAATACATGCATATCATCCATTGCATTGAAATCCAACTCCTTTTATCTGGAAAGAAACCAAATATGGAGTTACATAAGACTATAGGACTACAGTTATTTGCAAACCTTCTAGCTTCTTCGTCCCGACGCTTAGCATCCATCTCCTTACTTGGTGGATACTTTGGAAGGCTGGAAGGATCACATGCATAAGGCATGCTTGTGAAGAACTGCACGAATGAACAGAACAGATGTTGTGATGACCAACCTTTTAGCAAGTGATAAATAAAATCAATCCTCGACAAAAATGTCTCTTATCAAAGACTTTGAAAAGGGATGTGATTCTGTGCTTGCTAGGCACAACAAAAATAAACAAATTCATGCAGAAGTGCAAAATAAAAAAGAGAGACAGGAGAGTGCTCCAGAAGCTTGTAAACACTAGCAAATTAGCAGTGGTCTATATGGATATAAAATAAAGAACACAGTTCACCAGAATCTATCAAAGAAGAAGGTTTCCTTTTCCTTTCTCGATTATTTCTTTATTAACTGATCATTTTATTTTAACTTATTGTTGAGGGAGGCTGGGCGCTGGGGGGATTAGATGAAGAAGGTCATTAAGGAAATAACCTATAATTTTTTAAAAAGACGGAAGTACAATAATCTTTAGAAACTCCATCAGTCAGTAAGAGAGCTTACTTCACTTTTTAGCGCATCCGTAGCAGTTTGACGCTCAGCTGGATCAATTGCGAGGAGAGTATCAATTAATTGAAGTGAAGATTGTGGAAAATCTTTAAATGTCTCTGCTATGCATCTTTTATATGCTTGCTGGGGCTTGAATATGGTTGCATGTGGTAGCTTTGACTTTTTCCAATATTCTTCTGAAGGAGAACCGCATAGCTTGAAAATCCTGTGTAGCTGTTCCACCTAAGAAATACCGGTACTCGATGATGTTATTGTTACAAGTTTTGTTCACACACACATATGCTAACTCTGAACTGAGAATCAATCACTGACGGACAAAATTACCCACACAATTTAGAAAAAAGATGCATGCAAAATAATTATTCGTCTCAGGCTAAACCATCGTACATTTTGCAACCACATTAGAAGACAATGAATGTCTAGATCACCAAAATACAAAATCTATTCTTTTGTTGTCTTTTGATGGGACCAAAGCACTCCCCACATGCTTGATGTCACCTGCACTTATCACAAAGATATCATGGACCCAGAATTATGCTACAAAATTCGAATTGCAAATGAAAATAAGTTAGCAAACTTTTAACTGTTTAGTTTCTCATCTTATTGTAAGAGTACTATGTTTCAGCTCACTAAGTAGGCAGAACCATTAATTTTAACGATGTTCAAAGAATGATATAATTGAAATGCTAGGAAGCACCAAATCGGACACACGACACGATACATATATTTTGACAAACGATTTTTAGAAGTACTGAGGCGACATGTCCCCAACATACTAATAATATATATATATATATATTTTAATAATAATGTACTAATAAATTTATTTTTCTCAATTTAAGCGTGTCGACGATGTGTCAATCCATACAAAATCAAAAAATATTTTAAACATTCCACGTGGAGTTCTCGACACGTGTCGGAATGTGTTGACAATTTTTTCAACTATACAAAATCAAAAAAATAATTTAAACACGACACTTAACGTTTTCGACATATTGGTGTCGTGTGGGCGTTTGCCAGCAATGTGTCGGCGACATATACAACTGCATGAAATAAAAAATAATTTGTACAGGCCACTTGACGTTTGCGATGCCTGTCAGTGTCATGCAGTATTAGATAACAATAATAAGAGATCACCAAGTGTTTACATTAAAGAACTTAAATATATACCTCCGTTCGCCCAGTCATAATCGGCTTCCTAGCAAATAACTCTGCTAAAATGCACCCAGCACTCCACAAGTCCACACCTACGCCATATTCAGTGGCCCCAAGAAGCAGCTCTGGCGGCCTGTACCATAAAGTAACCACCCGACTAGTCATGGGCTGCTTATTGTTAGGGTCAAATGTTGAAGCCAACCCAAAATCAGCAATCTTAAGAACTCCTCCATTATTAATAAGAAGATTCGATCCCTTAATATCACGATGTAACACATGGCGGTTGTGGCAGTGTTCAAGACCAGATAATAGCTGGTGCATGAAACATTTGACCTATAATATTCAAAAAAAATGTCAATATAAGATAACAACTACAAATTCTTCAAGTAGCTATGGGAATTAAAAAAATAAAAAAAGGACCTGAGGCTCTGTAAACTTGATTCCGGGGCTAGAAGCAAGGCCAGCCAAATCATGGTCCATATAATCAAACACAAGGTACAAACTACATGACATTCTTGATGTCACTAATCCGTGCAATTTGACAACATTTGGATGATCCAAGCGCCGCAAGATCAATATCTCCCTAGCCATAAATCTCACACTCTCGGGCTCCAAATTATCGAATCTAACCTTCTTCAAGGCAACAATCTTCCCCGTTATAGCATCTCTAGCTTTATACACATTACTATAAGTCCCTTGCCCAATCTAATCATAATTGCCACAAACGAACATACAGAAACAACAAATAAGATATGAATCCACAAACGAC